TTGTACGTATTATAACGCTAAAATTGGCTGCGTTTGTATGAAGTTTGAAACTGCTGCGGTTGGTGGTTGGAAATACTTATTCCTTAACAGGGGTGAAAAACAGATTAGTTTTTATTATTGTTATATTTAATTATTTTCGATATTATATATTATTATAAAATACAAAGAATATGATTCGAAATGAAGAATTGTTGGACAGGTAATTTTTAAAATTTATATTTTGTCTATTATTTTGAAAAAATGAATTAAGCGTCTTTCGCGAGATTGCTGAGATAGAGATTACTGCAAGATAAAGGTTTAAAAATTTATTCGAAATGTTTCTGCGTCGGTTATTTTATGGGGCCGCCTTTTCCATTAGTGTCCAAAAAATAACCTATCAATTCATGGGAACTGAGGACCATCTTGGCCGCAGACCGCGTCAATTAACCACGCGGAGTACGCGTCATTAGAAAAAATGTAGGCGTTAAAATAATATTTGTCCCGGCCACATGCTTACTACGATACCCCGGTAGGTAAAAACATGGACCTGTAACGCCTAGAAGTGGCATGAATAATTTAAACTTCAACGATTCAAATTCAATATTACGCTTATTTATTGATTGTGACAATACTACTACTTCGGACTATTGACTTCGGGCTCAAAATAGTCAGAGATTGATTAATGAATGTATAATATAAAGCAGGAACCCATGTGACTCTTTTTACTATTAGTAAAATTAAACTTTAAAGACAATTTAATAGATAAATCATCGAAAATATCTGCCTCTTAGCCTAGTTGGTTAGAGCCACAGATTTGAATTTTAAAACGAAATAAATATTCGTATTAAGGATATTTTTACATACTTACTAGTAGTAAAATACAATTCAAAAGTAAAATAAAAGGGAAATATTTATTTATTAACTATGTTCAAACTTTAGGACGTATTAGAGAATCCACAGTCATGGGACAGGTTGAGAAGATGTTGTTATAGACCTTTTTATATTGATGTAAGAAAATGAAATTGTTTAAAGACGTAAGCGAATTGAAAAAAAAAAAAGTTATGAATTTAAAACAAAATTAAACGCGATATAGTAGTAGAGTTTTATTTTAATCACTTCGCGTCAACCGTAATAAATCGTTATAATTATGAATGTATTTATGGCATATCTTTGATCAACAGCTTCTTAACGTTGTATTTGGTAGTGACTGTACTTTACCTGTATCAATTTAGCTCTGCCCATACCGGACTTACCTCATATTTCGATGGTGAAGTTAAAACACCTATTAACGGGGAATCCTTTGCTAGAATAACATGTTACAAATCAACTCACGTAATATTCAAACACAGAACTGAAAAGTTGAGGCTCAGTCATTACCAATACAAATTTATGTAAACAGATATGCTGCGAATGAGTACACAGAATAAAGAATAAATACCAAAAATAATTTCTTTAGACATTTTTAATTTTTTTAGGAGGATCAATGTTTGATTTGAACACCTAAAAAGTACCAAAATAACTTTCAACCTTTTTATCCCCGTTGGTATTGGCACTTCCAGTCAATTTATAAATCTCTAATGCCAGATTAACACTGTCACCACATGGCCGAAGCATGTGCGGGACATATTAGTTTTATCAAACTTAACATCTGGGCAACCATTGAACATCCTATTCAGTCATTCGAGGTTTATTTTAAAACGATGAATCGCTTGACACTGAATTTGTTAATGTGGTATCTTGATATTGGTGTGTTAGGGAAAAGAAACAATAATTGATTTTTTTAAAAAGAATTCATTTGCCAGTAGCCCAAGTTACATAGAATTTTAACTATAATTATAAGTGACCGACACAATCGTCATTAATTCGGGTAGAGGTTCCGCACCGTACCGTTATACAAACGGCAGACGAGAAAGGCCTCGGACACGGCAGGCTCTGCTCTGGTTACAGGCCGTCGCAGTGTGCTTCTACCCTCCTACCTTCTAACAGATGTTAATAAAAGATATAAAAAATGCTTCTTGAAATGCTTTGTATTACGGGACAGTACCGTGACCATGGACGCAGAAGAGGGTTCGAAAACTCGGGAAATTAAATTGCAATTATTATCGTGTTAGTTGCCTACCCATTCGTGCAACAGCAAAAGCTGTTAAATAGAAAAATTCTATAGTAGATGTAGGTTAAATATATATCTCTGCCTATTCGCATGAGGTCTAAGCGTGGTTTCGTTAATAGTGGAATATTAAACACAAGAATTATAACATCTTCGAGTAACTTGATATCATTATTTATTGTCCGCTATTGTAACCCACCCTTTAAAAACAACTACGCTAGTTTAAAAACAGGTATTTACGTTTGTTAAAACATACACAAACTGTAAAGCTTACATACACTTCGTAAAAGTCAGCTTAACATTCAATTTAAAATGGGAAATTAAAACTATAAAATGTATAAACAAAAAGAAATAAGCGATTCAAGGTAATTAGTTAAGATCTTTATATTCAAACAACCATTTGGAAGCGACCGGCGGATAATAATTCTAGTGAAACATTAAATTAAACAACGGGGAGTGCAATAAAGCGAGCTTTGTACTAAGAATTATGATAATAACGCTTTAGTTTTGCACTTTATACACGTTTAGGGATTTGCTTGTAAGGCGCTTCGTAATTAATACTTTATAATATCGCTAATGCTACTTTACCGATGTGACCAACGTAAAGAAGTTTGGCAGAGTGTACTGGTGTCAGCTTTCGGCAACCCTGGTACAATTATGCAAACTCTACCACATTTTCGCATAAATTCCTGTAGAATATGAGGAGATTAATAATGAAATCCTGTAGAATAAAAAAAATGTAGACATCGACCCGAATGGCGTAGTGGGTGGTGTACTTACCTCCTGCGTCAGAGGGTGTGGGTTCGATCCCCACTACTGGAAAAATATTGTGTCATGAACGTAGTGTTTTTCCAGTGTCTGGGTGTTAATATATGCATAATATGTATTTATTTATAAATAGAAAAGTATGTTTAAGTGTGTTTATCACATTTCTTAGTACCAATAGTACAAGCGTTACTTAGTTTGGGATTAGAGAACATTGTGTAAAAATGTGTACTAAATATTATTATTATTATGAAAATTATAGAATACTACATATTATTACATCGTCCTTCCTTAGTTCATAGATATAGACAAAGACGAAGGCTTTATTTAGAGGAAAAAACAAACAGTTACGACTCACAACTGAAATACATTAAACGTACATAACAAGTTGAAAACGTAAAAAAATCATCACTCTCATTACATTTCTTACATAAAACGTAACATGTCATTAAATTACAACTTTTAAAAATTATAAATATTGAAAAGCAAAGAAACAAATTATTAAAATACACACGAACAGATTATAAAAAATGTTTCGTTGTATCAAAATGGTGTCCACTCACCGAAATTGAGGTGAGGTGCAATTTTAGTTTTTTATCGAGCCGTAGCAAATAATATGGTCAAGAAAAGCACGATACAATTTCATAACAGTAATTATTACGTATCTTTATTACTAACACTATTTTATTACCTTAATTTGTATGTCACATACACTTCGTATAGTACAAATGTTATCATTGAATAATGTCAGCTTACATTCATTTCCGTGCAACTTACAAGTTATGGGTTTCTCAGGGTTGCAGTCATGTACCTAGTCTATTTAACCATTATTGACAGAGACAATAAAAAACAAAACCGCTGTATAAATAAATATAATTGTGTTTATTATTTTTAAACAGATTTATTATTATTAATATCTAGGTCATGATGAAACTGAAGACAAATACGTAAAACGACTGAATAATTGCACACTCGTGGACGAGGATCCACCTCGTCCAGGAGTGTTTCCTCAGTGGAGACCACCTGTGGTGTCGCGTTAATTTATATACCCGCTTGCGACATTGGTCGTGCAGTTTAATGAGCAATAAAGACTTAATCGACGAAAAGTGTTGATGGAACTTTATTACGCTTATAAAAGGTCGCGCCTCCCTCCATAGTAATACCTTCCTTGAATAAGGTAAAATGACAAAACTGGAATAAATTCAGGACAATTGTACTCACGATGAAATTTAAATGCGAGTTTAAAAGATATAATATTATTTGGATAAGCTTAATGCATATGCTCGATAGGGTGGAGAGAAGAGAGAAAAGGTATATTTAACAATTGCATTCTTATATTGTTATGTATGTTAAAGTCATTTAAACAGTTCCGAGACGAATCCAATTTCTTTACATGTACTGTGTACTAAATTTACGACTATGTTTCTATTTACGTTAATTAAAGTTACCTTAAGATGAAAGGAAACAATAAAGCAACAGAAAAGAGTGTTTTTAAATATGGCACAGAAGGAAACCGTTAAGATTATGACACTACTAATAGCTTCTACTTACATCTCGATCATCCGGTGATCACAGAGCACCGCACTCGCGATGAATTATGATGTTATAAATGGACAAAGTAAAACAGATGACACACGATCCGTTTAGAGGATGCTTAACATGAAAAGATGTTTTAGAACCAACCCCTTAACCAATCGCGAGGCATCCGTAACTAACAGAGTCGTGTTGTATTATTTTAGTTACCCATCGATAATTCCAATTGAGTCAATGATGTACTTTTAGTTAATACTGTTTAATCATTATGATTATTTACTTTATATTAAAAACAAACAACAAACTTGATGGTCAGGGAAAAGACATGGATTACGTATTTGCAGTTTCCGTGATCTTTACGCGCTCCTCTCGTTTATTTCTGTTTTTATTAAAATAATAACTTATGTGCTCATTATAAAAACTTATTTATCTGAAGTTGACTGTATGCAATATATCTGTATGTAAGCTCTTTCAGACCCAGAGTTTCGTACTGATGTAGTCATCATCTTCCAATAATCTGTTTATTTTGTTGCAGATAATGTTATAGTCAAAATCCCGACAAATGAGACGAAACAATTGCACTTCACACCAACATGAGACAAAGATATAAACCGACATGGCGGCGAAATTCAAACGTTTCGAAAATGGAACGCCGTTTACGGTGCGCGAGCGTGGGGATGATTCGGTGCACGAGAATAGAACGCCGGCCGTTTTAGAGGTGGGGGCTCGCAGGAAGAGGCGATGGCCCTGTCGACCGGATGTCGGCGTTTGGTTGCTGTCACTCACCGCCCTCCTCGCCTGTTGCCATGGTTACCAGGAACAGAGGTTCGCGATGGAGCCCCAGGATCAGGTAAGAGCTTTATTTAGAAGCATGGTGTATTTATACTTTATTACATGTTACGTACGCATTAATCATGATTTAAACCATTGAAAAATCCTCTATCTTGATCGCCGTTTTAACGATCAGTTTTCGAGTACTGACTTGAACATTAATTTACTAGGAGATCGTTTTATTTTAGGATTTTTTTGGCTAGTCTGCACTCACGGTGACACTTATACGTGACGTTAATAAAGAATTTGTCGATACATCTTTTGCCTCTGCCAGGATTGAAAAAGAGCGAAGGTGCGCAATAATTTTTTTAGACAATTTTTTTTTGTCGTCTAATCACACAGTTTATTGATATAATATTTACAAGATTTAATCTATCTCAAATTACATATTATCTAATAAACCTAATCCACGCGGCATGGTGCCAAGAACGCTAGCTGCATTTCCTCGCTGAATAGTTATGCCTAACCTTTGAGCGAGAAAAGAACCAGCTCTTGTCACCAGCCGCGGCGTTAAGCCTACGATTCATTTATTAAACTCACATTTATGGACGTTATTTTTTAGCAAGCTCATGAAATTTTCAATCAGCACCTTTAATGCTGTAATGATATATTTTGTAAATTAATAAACCCGCTCCGAGATCTGACTCTGCGACTTTTTAAAGACTTTTTGGAAGTGAATTATGAGTTTTTGAAAATGATTTATTATTAATAATCGAAGTGTTAATGTCCAGTACCATTACAATTATAATTGCAGCCATATATTAAAGGTAACCAACCCTTTCCAGTATCTTCTCTTTTCGAGGGCACTTGTTACCACGCCATCGAGCGTTATATTATGGCTTTCACATATCGAGCAACGCTCAATTTTCTGGTCACATGAAATGAAAAACCAAGTACTTTTATTCTAACTGAAACAATCAGTGTACTGAACATGTCCGGCGATGTTTACATATTATGCTGCCGTTAACAATGTCAAAAATATTCACTATCATTTATATGGAATACCATCACACTGCAAAAAATGCTGCAGCAAATAATTTCTTAGCAGCTTAAATTACGTACGTTTTGCCCAATTTAATATTAGTAAGGCGTTTATAATTACCAAACAGGCTCGTGTCAAACACGCCTCATAAATTAGACGATGAATATTTATGGGTAAGATTAGCGAAATCTTGATATACATACGCGCATAACTTAGTTGATCGCTTTTGATAGCCATGTTGTAAATAAAAGTTAACGGCCTTGTCGGTCGCCCTATCAAAGCGACGTTTTAGGTTTTGGTGCAAGTTAAGAAAGGTCGCGATTTTGAATACTTTTTGCATTTAAAGATTAAGTTTTTAGCTAACAGCTTGTCCTTTTTATTGTTCACATAATGAGGTAAAAAGATCATCTGCCAGATGATCTTTACACACAAAAAGGAATCAGAGATTCACGTTTACAGTAGCGTCATTAACGGTTTAACTGATTTTACTTTATTATTTTAGTTGTATTACACCCGTTATATTGAACTGCAGCTTAATATGAATGTGTTGGTAAACTTTTGGTTAAATTCAAGTTTAAAATTAACTCGCCACGATGCTCTCAATTATTTTCATCACTAGATAGTATAAAACAAAGTCGTCCCGCTGTCTCTGTCCCTATGCTCAGATCTTTAAAACTAGGCAACGGATCTTGTTGTGGTTTTTTTTTACTAGATAGAGTGATTCAAGAAGAAGGTTTATATGTATTATTATACATAGAAACATATAAACCTTCTTATTGAATCACCATTGTATTCATTGCACCCATGCGAAGCCGGGGCGGGTCGCTGTGTATAATTTAATATACATCGTCACCTGAGTGCATGTATTTAATCGACATTTACATGGAAATTTGTCTTAAGTTGGGTTAGTAGACAAACGGAAAAAATCATGTCTGTTCTATGGGAGCACTACTTAAATATTTTTTATTCCGTTTTTTAGTATTTATTGTTATAGCGGCAACAGAAATACATCATCTGTGAAAATTTCAACCGTTTGATTATCACGGCTCATCAGACAAACAGACAGACAGACATCGAAGTCTTAATAATAGGGTCGCGTTTTACCCTTTGGGGTACGGAACCCTAAAGAGTATATCTGTACTAATTATGTACGCACGTAAGAATTTATACTTCTTTAGCATAAAGACATAAAATTCAATTGATAACGGTTTTTGTTATTGGTTGCTAAGATTAAATTGGTTACGAAGCATCATATAGCGTTTTGAGTTTTGGTGCACGGGCATCGTAAAAATTACTCTCATAACTTATCCAAACGCGACAAAAGAAGTATAACTTCTAAAATATTAAGCACAACCTTACATAATTTTTGCGAATATTATACATATTAAATTAAACGCGATAAAATCCGTGAACTACACGGATTTTATCGCGTTTTAATTTTGATTTTATAATTTCCGACGTTACGAACCGGATAATAGGATAAAATCTCAAAACTAGTCTCATTTAATTATTTAAATAAAGTATAGCCAAAATTAAGATAAATATGAGTTAGAAAACGGAATTAATTTTGTTAATTTTTTTTTCGTTTATTTAATAAAATTATTTATAAGGATCTTTATACCTTTCTTACGTTTGCTTAATACTCGGTATGGAGTAGCAAAATTACTAAAATGTTGATGTTCTATATGTACAATATGTTCACTTCAGTAATTCTCGTGACTTGGGAGACACAGTTGTTTTAATTTGAATAATAAATTAGGTGATTTCCATAGGTGTACGTTCAGGTAACGTTCCAGTTTATAATACAGATGGTATCGAATATGAAAATATTATACGTATCTAAATTACAAATGCCTAAATATTTTTCATTATAATCGTTAAATAAATATCGCTATCTGTTTTCTATATTATTTATGTTAATTGAGTAATAAAATATAATATTAAAGTTGTGTCATTAAAGTAGTCTAACAACTTCTTTAATATCCATATTCATACAAAGCATCCATGTAATGCCAACATCGCAAACTGACGTCGGATATCAACATCGTTATTAGAAAAACGATAGATACCTGGTATGGTAGGGCCACGCAACAGTGTTCGCTGTTGCACGAATGGGCAGGCAGGAGACCAGCGAGAAGTAGAATTGTTACACTTTTGCGTTTCGTCTGGTGAGTGAGGTAGCCGGGGCCCACTTTATTAAAAGGTGGCAACGCATCTGTAACCCTACGGGTGTTGCAAATGTCCATAGGCGGCGGTTATCACTTAACATCAGGTGAACCGCCAGCTCGTTAGCCACTTTCTCACATAAAAAAAAAAAGATAATAAAATTCGCGATTCTTCATCACGTTATGAAACATATTAATAACCATTGCACATAAGTGAAGTTTGTGAAATATTTTAAAACTGTTTTGCTTTTCACAGAGTGCTATTGTGGGCTCGAGGGTTACGCTTCCTTGTCGGGTGGAGAACAAAGTCGGAAGTTTACAGTGGACAAAGGACGACTTCGGTTTGGGGACACACCGCAATTTGAGCGGTTACGAGCGATACTCCATGATCGGGAGCGACGAAGAAGGTAAGTTAACACTCAATTATTCTTCTCATTTTATTTGCACCTGAATCTTTTTTTTTATCTGGCAGCAATCATAGGGACTTTAATTTACACTGAATTGTTGTTTTCTAAACGCGACAGACGTCGATGAACGGTTTTTTAAGTTTTTAATAAGTAAGCAAGTAAGTAAAGCTTCAATTATTGCCCTAATTAGTTGTGGCCATTGAAAAAAAATTTGCGTAGTTAGAAAGAACTGTGTTACACTTAAAAATTATTAAATGAATTAATGAATTTTTTTTAAGAGGGGATTGATAGACAATCCGCTAATGGCTTAGTAATTTTCTTAATCAGCCGTTAAATTATATCACCGCTCTACTGTTCCAAACGATTAGTTTTCTGTCAAGATGTATGTTTTGAAAGAACGTGACAGTTAATATACGTCAACGAAAAATAACAGGTTATGTTTTGAATTACACAGGTTGAACAAAATGTTCAATTCATCGAAATTCAATGTCTCAATTGAACGCATATTAACGTCCATAGACTTGGTTATTTAAGAAATGTGCTGTTAATTATATAGATGAATCCACAAACCGTTAAATTTACAACGTTGAAAATCAACCAACTGCATTGGATTTTTTTTATGTGAAAAGTTTTCAAACGAGCAGACGGTTCACCTGATGTTAAGTGAATACCGCCGCTCATGGACATCTGCTACACCCGAGGGTTACAGATGCGTTGACAACCTTTTGAAAATTGTGCTCCGGCTACCTCACTCACCAGACGAAACGCGAAAGTATTTTCATACTTCCACTTTACGCAAGATTACGAAATATAGTCCCTTATAACGATTTATTGTAATGCCCGTTGGATAATTTGTATGAATGTTTCAAAATCTCTCCATGAACATTGAGCATTCGTGCAACACCGGAAGCTAATGTGTGTCCTACCACAGCACAGTAGTACCACATTTATAACAGTACTTGAGATGAGAATCATCCAGCATTCTGATGTTTGGAAGAGTTAAGCTCATTCCCCACTTATGGCGTCGACAACAGCATAGTTCGACTATATAACCAGAGTAATAAACCATGGATCGGTAAACTGAACTTCTGATACACATTCCTTGGGATGTTTACTTTGGCGAACACAACTGAAACCGGTGGCATCGGCGGTCCCGTCAAGGGCGCTATTGGAACCGCACGCGGTGAACGAACCCGGTTCGGAATTAATATCCGCGCATAAATACGGATGACCATCGAAGTTTCGCACTCGGCCTTGTCAGTCCGCTTGAGGCGGGTTAAAAAAATTGGCACAAGTACGCCGTGTAAAGAGTAACGGAAAAAAAATAGGTAAAGTACGCGCTCGGGTCAAATGCGTGCGCTATTTTCGGCTGTGTACGCGTTATTACGGTTAGCCACCTGTTTTAGTTGCGCATCAACACGTTCCTGTACAGTTGCTATCGTGTTTGTTTTATCTACCTCTACTGAAACACGTAAAATTCCTGACTACATTTTGGAAGTTTTTCGTGGTGCGACAGTGTAACGCTCTTTAACCTGCTGGATTAAAAGAAAGTATACACAATATGTCACTCTTCGTGTACACTGATAGGCGCAAGCGTCTGTGGTGTGAAACACCGAATTATGGACTTTATAAAGCTTATTGAAATTTCTGAAATATTTAAATAATTTTTATAACATACGGTAATATTTTGTAACCCTATATTTAATTAAAAGAATAAAGTACAAATAATTGAACACCAAAGGAGTGTTTCTATTACACGATAAGCTTTTAACATTATCGGGCATTACGGTAATAAATGGGGTGCTCAAAAGAAGCTTGTAAAATATCTGTTATAATTAGACGGTTAATGAAACCGTTAGTCCATTAGGAAATTACTTGGAGCCGTAGCCACGGGCAACTTGTGTTTTTCCTTAAAATATTGTTTATCATTACATACTAGCTGCTGTCCGCGACTACGTCTGCGTAGAATAGGCTGAAGGCTTCAGACGGATTCAGACAGAAAGACAGATATACATAAAAATATGTATATATATTATAACCTAACCTTTCTACGGTGGTAGGGCCACGCAGCAGCCTCGGCTGTTGCACGAATGGGCAGGCCCGTCCGGGTAAGTACCACGACCTCACAGAAGACCAGCGTAAAGTGGAAGTATGACAAATACTTTCGCGTTTCGTCTGGTGAGTGAGGTAGCCGGAGCCCAATTTTCAAAAGGTTGTCAACACATCTGTAACCCTCGGATGTAGCAGATGTCCATGGGCGGCGGTATTCACTTACCATCAGGTGAACCGTCTGCTCGTTTGGCAACTAATCACATAAAAAAAAAAACAAAAATAAAAAAAAAAAAAACCTATGTGTTATTCTGATGTATAAGCTATACTATTGTAAAGTTTCATTAAAATCCATTCAGTAGTATTTGCTTGAAAGAGTAACAAACATCCATCCACACATACAAACTTTCGCCTTTATAATATTAGTAAGGATTTCAAAGGAATAACAAGCTGATGGTCAGTGAAGATTGCCGGCAATGGACACTGAAAAGATCTAAGACGTTGCATGTGCGTGCAGGCAATGATTGTACGGGACTCCAGTTAGCTAAATAACCGAAGAAATACAAAAGAACGTAAATATTTTCACCTTACGTCCGACTTCTACAAGGTCGTGTCCTTTCTCTGATAGTGGGCAACTCTATAATAGGAGATGATAGCTGTTGTTCCTGCAATGGAAGGACAAATTTAACGTTTCTTCTTCTTCTTCTTCTTAAATTAAACGTTCAGATGTAGATAGCATCTCTTCTCTTATGTATGACATCAGAAGGTCAAATAGTTTTTTTTTTCTCAAGAAGATGGCAAGCGAGCTGGCAGTAGACGTTAAATGATAACCACCGCCTTTGGACATTTGTAAAAATTCAAAAATCAAAAGTTTTATATTTATACAACACATACTCGTATAAGCGAATAATAATATAGACAAATATCAACAAAGATTTATTAAACCTCAATATAGACAAACAAGATTAATTTTCTTTTAATATAACATTTAATTTTGACGTGATTAAGTGCAATTATATAATAAATAACTTTATTCTCAACAGACAAATATAAAGTTACTTGGTAGGGAATAATATTTGAACAAATTCATCCGCTGTTCCCCAAACGGTAATAGAATAATTAACGCTTCTGTATTCTTCAAATCGCTTCGGGGCTTTGTGTGTGAAACGGAATATATTATTAGAGTTTTCGGCAATTGGCGGGTCGTTGCTCCCGTTGGTTGTGACTGGAGCTATAGTGATTGTGGTGATTGCAAATTCTCGAAGCTTTTGACTTCAAGGTCTCGGAAAAACTTCATCTATTTGGTAAAATTCATTAAATGTTCATCTCCTATGAAAATATTGCATTGAACTGCACTTATCTGAATTTGAAAACATAAATTTCCTGGAGATATAAAATAACATCTCTATATACGTTAAAACTAAAACTTTGAAACTGCAATTTGGTTTATTTTCTAACATAATATAAACACAGTGACATAAATTATAAGAATAATTATGGTCATATATAAATAATTATAAAGCGGAATATTGTTTATAAATAAAGCTATTCATTTATAAGATATATGTGAAAACCCAAATGTAAAATATATTTCAATTGCTGAGGCAAACACTTCTCCCAAAAAATAGACACTAACTTACGCCCACACAATAATGTTTCTTCTACAATGTGGAACTGAAATCAAATCAAATCAATTGAAGCCCGGATGAAAAGTATTTTACATATTCCAAGTAAAACTATCATCTAAGGGCGCTCCAATTCATATGTCTATATGCATTATACAAAGGCAGTTGCAAATGGCGGGAATGTTCGCCTCTCTCGTCGTCATCTAAAAACGTACGTTCCCTTTTCAAACGTTCGTCTCGAACGGATGTCTCGTATGCTTTTTATTTTTTAAAATATAAAAATAACCAGTTTGGAATGTAACCGGACAGTTGTACAAAATATTTTGGTTTTGATTTTAACGTATGCTATGAAATCGTAAAATAACAAAAATCTACAACACATTAACGTTAAAAAATACTCTTAAGCAAATTTAACACTTTTTGGATGTCAATTTGGTGTAGCGTTCATACACGTCCCACATTAAAAAAAACCAAACATATCTGCAAAACATTTTTCCGGTTCTATATTATATCACTTTATGTTGAGAAATTTATGTTTTTGCTTAAAATTAAAGGTTAAAACTTCACCGACCCCAGCAAGGCGGAACTTTATAAATTAAATAATAGAGTTAAATCACCACTCGCACGTATACTAAATTATCTAAATAAATGAATAACTATAAGTAATATTATAAATGAAAAGCCATAAATTTCCTGCTTACTACAAATAACGGAACGTGCGTGTTCCTGGAATGAATACGCAGAAAGAAAACGGTAACTTGATTCGAATGGTGGTCCCTTCGTGAGCCAAGGATGGTAAAACTATGGAACTTGGTCGTATCTGGTTGCGGTGTTGTTTCGCTGAGGTTGATTTGTGGCTTTGTATCAGCTACTGTGGTCTACTCTTGAGTCTAACCCAGGGAATAAAAGTTGTTTGATCGCTTCTCATGATCAGTATCTAAGCCAACAAGCATAATTAATACCAAAGTATAATCGAATCGCAAGCTTTTCCAGATAGTACAGAAATCAGATTAGGATGAAATTTACTTTCATGTGTAGGCCTACCTTAGAAGTTACCTGTAGCAGAGAATTAATAAGGATTCGAAGAGCGGACGAATTATTTATTTGCGATGATGCAATACGTGACCTGACTGTACAGAACGCTATAAGACTGTTCTCTCCCGTGAATTAGTTCGCAAATTCACTAAATTACCCATTATATTGATTTGTTAAAGGAAAGAGGGTAGTTTTTATTATCTCTACGAGACTAGAATTCGATGCCGTGGGAACAACATAGCGCCAAGAAATGAAAAGAGAAAAACAATAAGAAATATATGTATAATTTATTAATTGGTTAGAAGACAAAGTTATTAATTGGTTGAATTGTTTATTCGTTCTTAAATTAATAAGAATTCTAAATAAGAGAGTAGATAGTAGGACATAAAAAAAAATTACCGCATATTGAAAATGAAACTCAAAAATAAGAAAATTTTATTATCTCCTTTGACCTTTGATCTAACTTTAATATACATAGTGTTTTCGTTGTATATTTTATCAATTATACTAAACTACTTCCTAAACAATTTCTGGTTTATTTATTTTATAGTAGGGCTTACATGTAATCGATGACCATAAATTTCTAAAGCAAAGAACGAAACCGCAATATGACATAGGCTTAAGTCTTCAAGTACCGTAACTTCAGTAGCTTGGACCGTTTGTAGGAAAATTGAAAAATGTCTGTTTGGTTGCAGGTGATTACTCACTAGACATAAGGGACGTGACTCTGGAGGACGACGGAAAATACCAATGCCAAGTTAGCTCGGGGCTGAACGGTGAGTTTACGTCTCTCTTTCCCCCTCTCTCGATTTATCTTCTGTCTCTTTTCTCTTCTCTCTATATAAAAAAAATTGTATTAATGTAAGATAACATTATCCTATGATTATTTATTTATTTAAACTTTTACACGATAAGCGTATAATATGATTAAATGTAAGATGACTCAGTGGTGCCGTTGCTAAGCTATTGGCTTCGGCGTCGGTGGTCGTGGGTTCGATTCCCACACGCGACAAGTATTTGTGTGACTCACAGATATTTGTTCTGATGTTTTTCCCACCCTAACAAGGTGGGATAAGGGCAGGATAATGATGATAATGATTTGATGTGAAATGTATTCATACATACATTCATAATATGTACTCATACCATACTGTTCCAGGGGGAATCACTACATAATACAAAACAAAGTCGTCCCGCTGTCTGTCTGTCCCTATGTATGCGTAGATCTTTAAAACTACGCAACGGATCTTGTTGCGTTTTTTTTATAACTAGATAGAGTGATTCAAGAGGAAGGTTTATCTGTATAATGCATTGCACCTGTGTGAAGCCGGGCGGGTCAGTAGTAGAACATAATCCAAAAGAGGCCTAAACCCACGTGCCTAAATGTATTGCTTAGCATCTGAACCGACATTGATGTTAGAAATTAATATATTTTTCGCTACCTGTACAGAATATACAGAATCGGCAACTGCCTGGCGGGTTGTGGGTGTATGTGTTTTTGAAAAAAATATCTAGATCCAATTTTTCAATCCAGATATAGTTTGAATAGTTTTTTTTACTGTTTATCCTCCTCGATCATTCAACGAAGGACCAATCTATCTAATATTGTGATACTGTGGAATTTTAGGAAAAAGTAAAAATATTTCACTTTGTGAAATTTATTTTCAATATCGTTTTCAACACATATTTGTTCGATAAAATATGATGATAGGTGATGATGGATGATAGGCAACAATCCTATTATTTGAAATCTTTATTCTTTCAAGCTTACAGTTAAATAATTATACTAAAGCAAAAAAAGATAAAAAAAGGGAACAGTAATGGAGATATAAACAATGAGAGAGTGTCAATTCACAATGAAAGCTATTTGAATGTAACATAAGGCCAATTGAAAATGATTAAGTACAAACTTTAAATTCAAAGTTGGTAAAGGATATTAATTTTTATAGTGCTATTCTCTGCACTCAAGACTAAATAAAAAAAAAAAAAAACTGTAGAAAACGTACAAAAAATTTTTCACCAATACGAGAATTTGAATCTACGTCCTCCCGGGTACCCTCTCGAAGCTCTAGACACTGAGCTAAAAGGATTATCCATTCAAAATTCTTCTACAGCAATAATATGTATACCATGTGTATACCATATGTTGATGATAATGACTTAAGGTTGATGACTTCGTGGCGCAGTTGCCAAGGTATTGGCTTCGGCGTCGGGGGTCGTGGGTTCAATTCCCACACGGGACAACTATTTGTGTGATCCACAGATAATTGTTTCGCATCTGTTATGAACAAATTTATGTTTGTAAAACGTCCTTAGAACGCAGGATAATGTTATTCTAAAGTAAGGGCATTGTTTTAAAAAAATATATATATAAATAAAGTATACCAGTACAAAATACGCGAAATAAAACAAACATCCAGACCGATAAATATATAAAAATAACACGACGACCACAAAGCGTTCCTGGAAATCGATTCGAGGCATTCATTCAGCGGTCCGTTTCAGGTGAGCCAGCCATTCGGTCACGGTACGCGCACCTCACTGTGTTGATAGCGCCGGAACCCCCTCGCATCGTGCAAGGTGCTTTCATCGACGCCACCGAGGGCCAGCCTGTGGACATCGAGTGCGTTTCGGAAGGTGGAAAACCGGCTGCGGAAGTGAGAAATCATGTGCATCTTTAGAACGATCTAGCCGGCTCCGAGCAATTTTCCAGTAGTTTAGTCCTCAATAATTGATGACTCCGTGGCGCAGTCGCCAAATTATCGGCTTCGGCGTCGGGGGTCGTGGGTTCGATTCCCACACGGGACAACTATTTGTGTCACCCACAGATAGTTGTTCCGCATCTGGGTGTTTGTCCGCGTGTTATGTTTATAAAATATGTCCTTACTACACAGGATTATATTATAACAAAGTAAGGGCAATGTTTTTTAAAAAAAATAACTTGCTGTTGTGTATAAATATTTGTACATATATAACGTTATATACTACGCTACGTATTTATTGAGTAGTAATCGATGTTTCGACTGCAAGAGGAAAGGGGATATTTTTCGAGCTTACAGTTAGAATTTTGTTTTGTTAATTAATTTACCTTGATTCAAAGATGTTTTAATAAGATGATGCATGTTCATACTGCGTGATAATTAAATTTTTTCCACTTTATATTATATGGCATATGTAGATCTTCCGTATCATACATTAGATGTCCTTGTATCCTACACTATCATAGATGATATGGAATGTATGATACGGAAAGAGATAGCAGTCTATAGAATTGCAATGTAATCACACAATTTGGCGCAATTTGAGTGCCTCAGTTTCGCTAGTGTCATATCTACCTCTAATTTGTATAAAAATATCATTGCCTTGATTAATGTCTAAATTTACATTACTATCATCCTTTATCCCAATGGTGCGCACCATTTCAGTAGGTTTTACATTTTTCGGACCTCTAACGAGCACAACATCCAAATAATCACCGTCACATATTTTTGATTGATATTTGACGACCGGCTTGTCTACTCGCACTTATCAACGTTATTGACAATGTAGTGTGTATTGCTTAGTTTTGTTTCTTATGTACCTTCTTTACCGATAATAAGTTAATTTAATTTTGGTATTCAACTAAATTTGTATTACTTGTTCTTCTGTAGATTACTTGGGTCGACGGGAATCAGGTGGTCATTAAGAAAAACGTCGAGAATAAAGTGGAACTATTACAAGACGGACAAAGATTTAAAACGAGGTAAGCGAACGTTTCAGTGTTGTGGATAAAGTTAAATAAAACCATTTTACGAATATCTTGTCTTATATGTCTTATGTTCGCGTAAATACAAGAAGTAATTCTGTTGTGGGTAATTCTAAAAATGTGATAAAAGTACTTTCGTAATTTAAAGAGTGTTAAAACGTAAATAACTAAATCACGAGAACAACTTAAAAAATATTTGCTTTAACTATTCATTTCTAAGCGTAATAATATAAGGTGCTTGAAGGTTTTAAAGAATTGCGCTTCTAACAACGGATTACAAAATTCATTTCAAAAAATTATTTCATACATGCAATATTCCTGCTGAACTTACAAACATACTCAAATTTCTCTCCAACTAAGAATCAACTTAGTAACTTTTGGTAAAAAGCAGGCAACACCTACATTAAAATAAATATGTACGTATAAAAAATTAGAGTGACGGTATTTTTACTTTGATAGAATTGACAGAAATAGACACAGAAAGTTCATAATCAGTTCTACACGTCCCGATTTTTAACCCAGAGGAGTGTAATTTAGATTTTTGTACATGTCCCGATTGTAAAACAAAAAAAGACATTTTGCATTTATGTCTAAATAAGTACAGATTCCTCTGTCCTTTAGGGTTCAGACCTAACTGCTTAAGTACAGTTTCCTCTAAAACCTTGTTTGTTAACTAAGCGATATACATTATGCGGTCGACGGCTTTCGACAGCATCGCCTAATAAGCAGATTAATTCAGTATATCCGTTGCTGTGCAGATCTGTCCTGCGGTTAGCGCCTAATAAGGGATACCACAATCAGACAATAACTTGTCAAGCGCAGAATACAGCCGACAGAGCATACAGAATGGCCACCGTGCACATTGAGGTAAGTGTAAGTAACTTCATATTATGCGTGTCGGCTAACACGTATGAGAACACCGAACGAAAATGGAAACAGTAATTATATTTCAACAGTATATTAAAATATGTTTCATTTATTAAATCTAAAATTAGTTCTTATTTCTGTCGGTTAAAACACTCTTTGCAAGTATATGTGTAGGACGCTCATGATTTTTTAATCTGCAGAAAAACAAAGCTTGTTTTAATTCAGAGTAATTTATGCATTTGAAAACGGTACAAAATGTAAGAATTAACTCATAAATAAATAATAGATTGTACTCGAAGTTTTACAGCATGCTGCGTGTTGTGGTAATTGTAAATGTATACTAATGTTAAATGGAGAGCCAGTTTTTTTGTTCGGTTATACTACTAAAACTACTGAACCGATCGGAATGATACTTATTCCCATCCCATGCAGTGGGTTTCGAAGAAGGTTTTAGTATATAAATTTAGATTTATAATAATCACAATTTTCGCGCATGGCGTCGCGAGCGAAGTGCTTGTAATAGCTTGAGTAAATGACAAAATAGTCCATTATTTTGTGGATTTAAAATCGAACCATTTTCAGGTGAAGTACGTGCCGAAAGTCAACGTCACAATTAAATCGGCCACTGTCAAGGGAAGAATAGCAGAGGGGAGCGAGGCAAGAATACGTTGCTCCGTTGACTCGAACCCACCGGCCCAAGTTTATAGGTGGTACATTAACAGCAACCCCGTGATAGGAGACTACACCGATGAGATGGTGAGTGGTGTTTGTAATCAACAACTGGCTAATCCTTATATATATATAATTCTTATGTACGTGTGTATGTCACCGAACTCCTGCTAAACGGCTGGGCCGATTTTAATGAAATTTTTCTTCAGGTCGATTCGAGGAATGGTTTAGATTCATAATTTTTTTAAGTTATCGGATTTAAATCGTGTGTACAGAACAAAGTCTATTAGGTCCGCTAGTAAAGGATAAGATAGCAAACGCCTCAGCTCAGACATCTTCAAATTTGAAGACACCACAACTTCTATTTATGACTTTCCCGGCTTAACCACATAAGTACCACAGCTTTACAGTAAGCGTAGGGAATTACTTGTACGTTTCTTTGAACGAACTATTGGACTACAAAATTCGACTAATGAATTTCCTACACATCAGTCCTCGATGCTGCACCAATGGGCAGGTCCGTCAGGGGAAGTAACACTACCACATAGAAGACCGGCGTGAAGTAGAAGTGTTATACTTCTGCGTCCGGTGAGTGAGGTAACCGGGCCCCGCTTCATTAAAAGCTGGCAACGCATATGCAACCATACGGGTGCTGCAAATATACATGGGCCGCAGACTTCACATCAGGTGAACCGTCTCGCTTATCACATTCTCACATTAAAAAATAATTGCGGCCCTCTTTCCTAATGGTCTGAAACGCTTCTAGCGTTTAATGTGCAGAAGATTTTTAGAAGAGATTTAATAACAGCTCAACAACCTGCTTGTTAAACATCCCGGATTATAATCGAACTGAAGCATTTATTATGAACTGAAAAATAAAACTGAATGGAAAATCGATTCTTTCCTTAATAATGCTTACCAACAAATGGTAAACAAACAGCTTCGCTCCAATACGACATATCTCTACAATTACAGTGGAATGGTGACACACTGAGTAAATTGAATATAAGTAGATTTTGTTACCCAGGATTCAATAGCTATAATGTAGGCTGTACACGGGTAGCGTAAATGATTCAGTAGACATTAAAAGTGACTGACTAGATACCGCTTGAGTAATAAAATTCGCAAGTGGCGTACGCGGACGAAAGGGTTCATGTCATATTTTAATAACGAATCCGCGTTGTAACACGTAATTGAATCAAGCCGGCCCCGCCGACTTAATATTTTGAAGACGAGCACGGTAATTTTTCATGAATATATTTACTGCGGCGTCGCATTGAGGGGGAGACGCTAAAACGTACACCGTACGCAGACGCCGGGCGAATGTTTTATGTGGGCGTATAGTATTTAATTTGACAACCTCCCCTGTCTCCCTCCGCAAAATAAGCCAGACAGTCTGATGGGGATTATATTTTACGGCTGTAATTGCTATCGGGACTGTTGTAGCTTCTACAACAATTTAATTGCAAAACGAAAACACATCTCATGTTTTCGCGCGTTATCGTTTCGATTTGTTTGCGGGCTGAGGGACTAGACGGAATAAAGTGTAACACTGAAAGACGACAGATTCAGTGATTTTTGAGACACTTTCCCAATCACTTAAGAAACTAAAACTTGTTTCAATCTATTCAGCTTGCCGTTAATCTTGGGAATTTGCTAAAATATTTATAATGTTTACGTTACACGTTACGTACGTACTAAATACACGTTTTCGTAGTCTTAATGTGAGACAAAGCGAAAGCTATTCGTGTCATTGATATAACTCAACGTAAGGTACGTTGCGAGACAGATGAATGATAACTAATACAGAACGCAATTATTAAACAAAACTATGGATAAAGCTAGGTACACTATTCTGCTCCTATGGCCTTAATAAGGCGTGTTGAACACGAAAAATTCCCAAAAGAACAATTTTGAATTTATAAGGACAAAAAACGGCAATAAAATAATTTTATATTTTCGCGAACGAAAATATAACTCCACCTCGACCTACTGTTTCCACAACTGTGGAGCTTAACTCGCGCATTATTTTACGGTACATTCGCGAATCAGTCCCATTATTCCCGAGTAACGTTAACCGTTACAACTCGGAAAAAGCCGTGCGAGTAAGACCGGGCTTATCCGCCGGAAATGTATGCTGTATGCGGCCGTACTTATGGCTGCAGTAAGGCACACGTGAATTTTTCAAGAGAGCGCACTTCATACTTTATGCACGGACGGTCCCAGGGCGGGATGAAATTCACTACAATAATTGCCAACGGCGCGTTCATTGTGTTACGCTGGGAAATTAAAGGGCGAATTACACCAGTGCAGACGGATAAACGTATTCCACAGTATGAATAATACAAGCTACACTCTCGTAAGCGATCGGGGAGGTAAATTTTTGTTACGACTTAAAGTTTATTGTAATTTTTCTTCTTCACAACGGCGCGAGCAACATTTATTTTAGATGCTACGTGCACATTAGTGAGCGTGCTCACTACTAGATGGCGCTTTTTGTGCGCTTTAATGTACGAAATTATTTCAGCCATTCCGCCCGGCTATACAGACGCCCGTGTAGTTTCTTTCGTCGAGCGTGCACCTCATTTCGAAAATGCAGCCCGAAGAAATTGCATGTACCCGTTTTTAATTTTCTTTATTCACCTGGCCGCGCCTTTTGTGAACAGCGTGTATGTAAATATAACGTACATTTGACTGGAGGGAGGTTTTATGCAATGTCTTCAAAGCAATGATAAGACAAACACAAGAAATCAGATAAGTTTTGATTAATGTGTGTGTGTGTGTGTGTGTGTGTGAAATGTGTTATTGTATGCAAATCAGCCGTTTAGTTATTAGAAATTATCGTAACAATAATAATTTCGTAAATAATTAAAGAAAATGTCTTATATCCTTGATCCTAATGGATGGAATTGTAATTATTATTAAGTTTATTTTAGGCTCATTTTAGTTACAATTGAGTTATTTAAAGACTTTACTAAACTCTGTTTGAAACCACTATTGTTTGAAATCGAAGTTAATAAAATAAATATTATTCTAAAACTAAAAACTTAATTACTTTAAGTGTCGCTGGAAAAAATGTACCATTTTCCCTTGATATCAGGACCTTCAGTATTAAATAACACTAAATAAAAAAGCCAAGAAAAGATAATCTGTTGAATACTAGAATTTAAGTTTATTATAAATCTATATTTAGTTCTCTTCTAACATAATCGGTAAATAAATGAACAACACATGACTACAAATTGAATATTTATAGTGTTCAGTGATGGCACATACAATTCAAACGTTGAAATTGAATATACTCTAGACATCGTCATCTATTTATTCCTGTGCTACAATTTGTGCGTCATATCACTTATTTTTACGATATGGAAACGTAGCAATTTATCGTGGGATTGATTTATACGGGCGTTGAAAGATGAGTAAAGCCGCGGAAAATGCTGGAAATCGCTTCGAGGAATGGAAATGGAAAGTTCCTTGACAGTGGATTTTGCAAACGTCTGTTGTTATTCGATTAGTCTCATATCTTACTGTTTATAGGTTGATATTTTGCTATGTCCCCTTATAGACTTCGAACTTTATCGATCTTAACATTAAATGAAAAATCACGTAACGTTTTTTCGTTAAAATATCCGATTGGATGGTATCTACACTGTCTAAGATCTACCAATATCAGCCTCGGCAGTTGTGTAATTAGAAAGTGTTACCAAGTATAAAGGATACACTGATTGCTTATTTGATTCATGACTGTTGTATACAGATATAGAAAATCAATTTACAATAAACATATATTATTTTTTTATATATTTAATTTTATAATATATTTTATATATATTTATTTATTTTAAATTTGCCAAGCGAAAAGGCAGTTCACCTCATGTGAAGTGAATACGATGCCAGTGGCCATTTGCTACCGAGGGTTTTTTAATGCGTTGACAACCTTTTCAAAGGTTGGCCTCGGCTACCTCACTCACCAGACGAAACGCGAAAGTGTAACACTTCCTCGTCACGACGGTATTCTTTGAGGTCGTCTTACTTCCATGGGCGGACTTACTCATTTGGAACAGAGAAGACTGTTGCGTAGCCCTACCACCAATACGTGCATCTTTTCATTTTTAAACTATACAAGTATACAACTACATAATATAAACTACTATATACTATACAATTATACAACTACACAAAGTTTTACCGTGTATGAGTATTGCGTACTATAGTACGCCATGCTCATACACGGTAAAATTTTGTGGTGAAATTACTAAGCTGTTTCTCTCAATGTCGACCCGATTTATTTACAACGATGACTACGAATTTATGTACTCGTATGCTTCGGAAACGTTGCCCCCTTACTGTAGTTTAACATGATCCTGTGTTGTAAGAAAGTTTTACATGCATACATTTCACGTAAACAAATACCAAAACTCGAAATATTTATCCGTAGGTCACACAAATAGTTTTCCAGTGTGGAAATTGAACCCACGAACGCGGGCGCCAGAGCCAATGCCTAGGCAACTGCGCTACGGAGCTATCATGTTGAATTAATAAACGTTGTCTTTCCTTCATATGATACAGCGTTATTATCTGATGTTAAACTTAACGTATTATGTTGCGTATGCAACATAAAACGTACCTAATAAGGCCCGTATGGTGCCGAATTGTTGTGTGCGTATGCGCCCTTTGGTGTCGACAATAGGTATTGACCTATTGTCGACACCAAAGGGCATACGCACACCGAAGCGGATCTTACGGTAGGGCCACGCGACATTCTTACCTGTTGCACGAATGGGCAGACCAGTCCTGGGAATTATCACGATCTCACAGAAGCCCGGCGTAAATTGGAACTGTTATACTTCAACGTTTTGTTTGGTGAGTGAGGTAACTGGAGCCCACTTTATCTAAGCGTGGCATAATGAAATAAGGCTAATCATCTGTAACCATACGGGTGTTGTAAATATTTAAGGGCGGCGGATATCACTTATCATCAGGTGAACCAGCAGCTCACTTACCACCTTCTCACATAAAAAAGAACTGCAAAATAGCATTGAAATTATATCTTCTCTTTACTTCAGCGTCTAAGCTTGTTGAGCCGACATACTTGCGTTATTAGTTTTTATTAATAAAGTTCTCAATACCAAAGACAACACAGCAGACTCGTGAGCTCTTTAAAACTAAAGTAATAACGCTTAATCGTTCGTAAGGATGCGGAGCGTACTATTTAAATAGCGGTTACTCGATAAATACACGAGAGCAACGACTGTGCTAAAGTTACAGCTGACTTTGGTTAATAGTCTGTTATTAATTTGTAGCTTAGCAAATTTAACTTCGAATATTGGTAGGTAGTTTGTTTGTGACGTACTTGTATTAGCTGTTTAGGGTTGCGCTGCAGTTAAATTGTAGCGTAAGCGAACGTATTTGTAGCCCCTTGCTCAATTTCAGGTCATTCGATATTAGCTATGTAATGCTTGAAATTGTTATTGCAATTTTGGACATCAATTAAGAATGTATTAAAATTTTCAAAGATACATGAAGACTGCCAAATCGCAGAGGGTTTGCAGACTGTGTCGTTATATAATTTGTATTCCTTTGTCCATCAGTTGAAACTATATAGGCCAGAATTCACTTAAATCCCAACGATGATTAAAATACTTAATATCGTGTTACACTTTTGCAAATCGTACCTATGATAACTAGCACAGAGAAAAAAGGCCACACTAGAAATATAAAACTTATCTTCCATATGTAACTTTGTATATCTTATTCGACATATTTTCAGCGACCCAAATGTTCTGTATATCTTATCAAAGAATAATTTGTTTACATTTTGCAATAGATATTATTCAGTTACGATATAAGTTATTACAATTTTGTTACAGATAATCTTCAACGTTTCTCGCAAACACAATAAAGCTGTGGTTAAATGCGAAGTCAGTAATGCTGTAGGTCAGAATGATGGAACCGTTACCTTAGATGTTACATGTGAGTATAAAATATGAACAATATCCAAAGTCATTAATAAAGTTTCGCCCCATAAGACTATGTTCCACAGTCTTTGTCATTATAAACGTATTAATCTTGAAAACTTTCGTTTAACCCTTATGAACCCTTATGATAAGTAAGTTCGGAAAGACTTAATCGTTCAACAAAGGATTGAAAGAGCTATTACACTGCATTCTTAAACTCTGAAACGCTCGAGTTACAATTTGTTTTAACAAACAAACAAATAACATTAACAACGTAAACATATAAATTTTATTAATTGTCTTAAAATATTTGTGTTATGTTCTTTTAGATCCACCGTCATTCAGAACCCGACCAATGAACGTGGAAGCGGAAGTGGGGGCGCGGGTGACGTTAAGTTGCGACGTAGATGGCCAGCCGGAACCGGAAATCAGGTGGCTATTCCACGAGCCCGGCAGGATCGGGGTAAGTGAATACCATGCTGAAAGTTCATCTTAATATAACGTGTTTGTGACCTAATGAAAATTGTTTACAATTATATTTCTAGACACTTAGTAAACTGTTGTAAATTACAATGAAATAGTTTATGGTATTTGTTGACATTCCAAATTGAAGGTTTTCAAATGCGAGCATTTGAATTTAGCGAATTAGAATTATCAAGTATTAAGGCCCATTTACACGATACCATTTTCTTGTACATACAAGAGCAATAATTGAATGCAATAAATTGCGCGCAATAATTGTTTAGACCATTTGTTGTTTAGACCATGCAACTCATTTATTGCTTCAATTTAATTTTATACAACAGGCAAGAAACTGGCACCATGTAAATGGGCCTTTAGCATTAAGGCAGAGATAATATTATGTGAACGTGCAATACCTCCAGCAGGTTAAGGGAAAGACTCCGAACTTGAAGGTCTACGTAAACAATGATACGGCAGGACGGTATATATGCAAAGCCACGGTTGATGGTTATCAAGAGATTGAAAGTGAAGCTACCATTTTTATAAAAAGTAAGTCTTTTTTATCCCTTTAGATATTTTTTTTACATATTAAGAAAATATGAAGCAGCGCATATCATGTTTATTTATCATTTAAGTTGGCGTTTCGTTTTCATTTTTATTCATATAAAAGTGAAATGGGTGCATGCTTAGTATTATAGATGCATCCGTTTTAAGTTTTAACGAGGTTGTTTATTCTCAACCAGCATATATTAATGTAATTTTTATACGTAATAAACTGGAGGACGCGTTAGTTCACGCCATTGTAATTTGAACTCATGACTGGACAATCGCATGTGTGATTTTCATCAACAATCACTTAGTAGAATCCACAATGTGAATGTAATAGCATCTATTTTAACTGAACGAATTTGATTAACAATCTGTTCAATAAAAATACCGTGATGTGATACACACTGCTGACTGTTCTAACATTGGTTGTAACGTAATATTTTTTTAGGTATCCCCAAAATCCTCTCGAACAGGACGCAGTTCGGTTCTGACGGTGAAATGGTCAGGGTCGAGTGCGCTGCATTTTCGGTGCCAAAGCCCGACGACATCAGGTGGTACTTCGAGGGTCGCGAGATCAGCGTGATACAGGACCCGGTGAGTTTGGTAAAATTAAGATCATATAAAGGAGTATAGGTTGAAAGAAAATATCGTGAGGAAACCAGCACATTTTCGAAATGATAACAAAAATAAAAATATTTCGAAGATATGTGAAGCCCAATTTCCAAAAGGTCAACGCATCTGCAACACTCGGGTGCAGATGTCCATGGGCGGTGGTATTCACTTAACATCACGTGAACCGTCTGCTTGGCAACTTTTCACATAAAAAAAATCCACGATGGGGTCGCGCGACTACGCTTCCTCGCTACAGCTCGTGCCCACCAGTGGGACATAATGTCGGCTGTTACTATACGTTATAGGGCTATAGGCATGTCAGTATCAATGGTAACATTTAGAACTGAATTCAATTTAATCTAGTTAACAATATCTGGATTAAATTTATACGAGTATCTAATGAGACTGTCATGATGTTAGACGTAAAGCGTTAACATTTAAAGTAACTAGCCTTTTCTCTTTATTCATTACTTTAAAATGTACAAACAAATTATACAAATATTCAAATGCTGGGCGAAGACTGCATGATTACTTTCGATATTTGTGGATTTCACATTCATACAGAGAAAGTATTTTTTGTAAATAAGGACAGGTTTCCTCGAGGTGTTTTTCGCTGTACACTTGATAAATCAATACATCATATTACTTTTACAAATTTAATTGATGTGTCATCGGCATTTACTTTGTTGCTGTTGTTAATTTTTAGCTAGAAATTTTTTTGAGGCTCTTTGTACCTAGCACTGATTGTATTTCTCACTATTTTGCTATTTCTCCAGGACTATGCGACCTTAGAAGAAACTTTACCAGACGGTGTAGTGAAATCTAGCTTAGTGATCCGAGCAAGCCAATCGAAACATTATGGAGTATACAATTGTAGTGTCACAAATGAATATGGAAATGCAAATGCAGCTATAACTTTTAAGCCTTTGAGTAAGTTTCATTCAATTACATATTGTAAATTCATAAATCTTATTAGCTTCAATTGTGGTAGGGCCAACAGTTCGATGTTGCACGAATGGGCAGATCCTTGCGAAGAAGTACCATGACCTCACAGAAGACCGGCGTGAAACGGAAATGTTATATTTCTGTGTTTCGTGTGGTGAATGAGGTAGTTGGGGCCCACTGTGTGACATAAAAAAAGGTGACTACACATCTGTAACTAATGTTGCAAATGTCCATAGGCAGTGGAAATAAATAAACATCTGGTGAACCACCACGCATGTATTTAAATATGAAACTGTATCAGGAATGTAGTTGATATTACTATTCATTTGTATTTTTCATTTCGAAAAATATATTTTGTCTTTCTGAGAGTGTTTTTTTATTGTGCGATTATTACTTTTTTCTTTGCTATCATATGTTCTTGTATTAAAAAGCGTCTTTTTTTATAGAATCATTACCGTTATTCATAATTCTCATTGGCGTTACGTCGGGCATCATCATCTTCTCCGCTTTCGTCATTCTTCTGGTGATATGCCATAGAAGAAGGAGGAAGAAGAGTCAGCAGATCAATGAGAAGCCCGATGTCACGGTTACCACTGGAGATATGTATAAAGAGAGCGACAGAAGTTCAAATATTAGCGATCTCAAACTTCAAATCGGCCAGGGCGATGGAAGTTATGAACTGGTAATTACAGAATTTTTTTGTTTCTAAATTCCGATCATAAAATTTTTGATATTTGTTTACTGTTAACTTTTGATAGTTTTTTTTTTTTTTTTTATTTAACATTGCCCTTACAAATTTCACGCGGACAAAAACCCAGATGCGAAGCAACTATTTGTGGGCCGGCCAATACAACAACCATGGAGTCATCAAATAATAGTTAATATAAACATACATGTAATAATTGGTCGTTTTGGCAGGATAGATTATTTAAGTCTATAATTGTAGAAAAACAATGACACAAATTAAATAAGGACCAACGGATACGGGAAAATTATCTGTATGTATACAAAAAATTGTTCGAGAAGGGAATCGGTCCCATATTTTAAAATTATTTTATATAAATCATAACTATAACAGTTTGACATTCATGTTTCAAACGGCAGTTTAATTTTCTGAATTATAATTATTTTTCTCTTTTCCTTGTCTTGTCTCTGCTTGAAGTCCTTAGGACTGCAAAGCTCAAATTACCACTGGATTTTTATTAATAATTATACTTTTAAGGATTACACAAGTTCCGATCGCTCCGAGACGAAGAATCCAGCCGGTTTGCCATTGGCTGGTCCAGTGACGTTACCCAACCTCCGGCACGATGATCCACTCATGCAGTTCAGTTATAGCAACGACTATTCTGACCCGACGTACAACGATCCATACTTTAAGGTATTTTGTTTGATTTTAATCATCAAATGTTTAGTGCTTTAGTACTATTTGACTTTACTATCTGACGACCCGATTGGCTAGTGACTTTGCCTCTTGCGCCAGAGGGTGTGGGTTCGATCCCCACTACTGGAAAAATATTGTGTGATGAACATAGTGTTTATCTAGAGTTTGGGTGTTTGTATCCATATTCATAAAATGTATTTTTTTTGTGTCTTGATGTATTAATTTTACCTGACGGAATATGCGACGTTAATATTTGTGTAATTAAATATGAATGTGATTAACCAATCCATACGAGTATTGCTGTAAATTAATTGTCCAATAGAATTTTGTTACAGACAAAAGATTAGGGTTAAGTTCAGTTATCATTTATTAAATTAAACGATGGAATTCTTGCCGTACACGTTGTTAATAAAATAAAATAAATTACTTAAAAAGGTTTCATATTTTAGAATCCTGCGGGCTATGTGTACGACTATCCTCAGGGCTACGTGCCTCCCCCGCATCTGAGAGTTCAATCTCCGACACAGTTAGATTTACCTCCGAATAGGTGAGTTGTTCGTCGTTTCTAGAATATTGATCAGCATAAATTTCTCTTATGTCAATAGTTTTCAGCCCACCGTGACTACAGTTATGTTTTGCATGTATTTTTTATTATTTTATGTGAGAAGGTGGTAACCGAGCTGTTCACCTGATGTTAAGTGATAACCGCCCATGGAGATTTGCTATATCAGCAGGGTTGCAAATGCGTTACCACCTTTAAATAAAGTGGGCCCCGATTACCTCAATCACCAGACCAAATGCAGAAGTATGACACTTCCAGTTCACGCCGGTCTTCATTGCGGTCGTGGTACTTACCCGGACGGACTTGTCCATTCGTGCAACAGCCGAAGCTGCCGCGCGGCCCTACCACAGTTAAAAAATAAAACTTTACATCATTATTTGCAATGCAGGTCGTTGCAAGGTTCATTGACTCGCAGCATCGACACGGCGTCTACTCTCCCATTGTCGGCCGGCAATGGATCGCAGAGCAACTCTTTGCAACGAACGAACAAATCAACCGACGAAACCGACGCGATCAATAATCTCGGACTGCCTACAGGCGGAGACAGTACGTACGAAATGAGAATATTAAATATATTACCACCCTTATCTTCAATAACCTAATTTAATTACAGGTGTTAAAAGATTTTGTTTCACTTAATTGGCTTTGCCATTGTTAATTTTTTTTATAGATAGATGGCTCTGGCTGTGATGGACATAGTACAATAACACACATTTTAGATTAATTATTTATAGACTAGCTTTTTGCCTGCGGCTTAGCTCGCGTTAAAGCCCTTAAATAAATATCTTTCTTGAAAAAATGTTTCCAATAAAAAAATAGCCTGTACTTTCTCAGGCTCTAGACTATGTACCAAATTTCATTTAAATCGGTTCAGTAGTTTTGGCGTTAAAGCGAGACAGACAGAGAGTTACTTTGGCATTTATAATATTAAGTATGGATAAGCGAAAAATTGAAAAAGACTACCCAATGTATTAGTAATATTATATCTTCATAATAACTTGTAATATTTGTTCGTGTGGTTAACACATACAATACACTCAGTTTTTTTTTTCATTTACCTAATTACTTATTTGACATAAGTAACAACTCTTAACAAAAGTAACTTCGATAATTTAACACGAGCTACATTTTTGATGACAATCGTACTGTGATTGAATACGAAGACATACCCAGTCCTAATTATTTACGCGTCTATGCCCTTCAGTTTATAAGGCATATTAACACGTCTCATGAGACGTCGAAGTCCGCTCACTAGACAACAGTGGGTTGAAAGTGGGCCTTAATCTGTGTACGATTCCCACAGATCCGCCCACGCCGATATACGCCCAGCCGAACGCGAAAGGCCACGCTGGCGTCGACCTAAGATACGCCGCCACATACGGAAACCCGTATCTAAGGAACAGCTCGGTCGGTGAGTCTGCTTGCATAACCTTTTAGATACTGTAAGTATGTGCATGTCTCAATATGTTCTTACACCATTTGTACGTACATATATTCCTTCCCCCAAAAATTTGATTGCATTATTGATTAGCCCATATAAATTAATATTCGTAGAATAAAAATCTCTATTTTTCAGTCCCGATGATTCTTGTACAGGCCTAGAAAATTCCTACATTAACGTAAGTGTTTATGGCACAAATTGGTAAAGGAGCAGTTGTTGACCTGGTTAGGATTTAAAGCCTCCCATAATATCCTACTACACTCATGATATTACGATTCTCAATTGACGAAATGGAAATGTAAATACATTTACTTCTAACCGGTACTTCGTGTGGCCATGGATTACCAGGGATCCACAATACGATGGAATACAGGGATATAGGAGCTGCGGTATAATTAAGTATTGCGGCAAATGAGTTGTCAGCTTTTAAAATAACACTTCACGCCGGTCTGGACGGAGCTGACCATTCTTTCAACAGCGAAGACTTCCGTGGGCCTACCACAGTAAAGTTTTATGTTTGATTTATTTTTTTTAAATCTACCCTTATCAGGCTACGGCAGTCAAGTACATACAGCCAAGCCGGCGTCGACACCAGCACCACCTCCATATTCCGCGGTGAGAAGCTCTGTCGTCTTGCCATCAGGTACATAACCGCATACCAGCAAATCTATAGGTAAATACCTATACACATACAGCACGCACGACTTGTTAAACGTAGAACAAAAACATTATTTCCTCTCAGCATGGAGGTGTTCGAAATTTTAAGCATCTAATACATTCACTGACACCGACGTTACCAAAATTCCTTTGTCCATATTTACTAACAATTTATGCATGATCTGACATATTCAAAATAATGTTTTGTTATATAATAATAAAAAATTGGAATCCAATCGCTTTTAATTAGTCTTCCGTGCGATTTTTTATTAAGTCGGAAACGTAATTAGTCGTAGGAATTTCAATGCGCATGCTTGTTTACTTTTCTCTCTGTAATTGTGCATTTGATAATCTTTTCGGTTTTGACTACCAACCTTAGGTAGAAAACCCATAACTAAAATCCTACTCGTTTTTACCTTCAAGGAAATTTAACTCACATTGTTTAAAAGTAACAAGGGTACTTAAGTTTTGTTCACAGGCATGCAAATTTTAATTTAATCTGATATCATTTGAACTATGTTAATGCGTAGCGATGTAGCGAAAATATAAAGGCTTTGTGGCACTAGTACTCATTTTCCATTTTTAATGTGAAACGATATTGACTCTGCGTTTTACTCAGTCAACACAATTACCTGAACGAACAACGGAAACGATTTACGTTGTAAAAATTTGTTTGATGAATCATTACCGTTATGATGTTGGTCTAACGATTTTCACGTGAACTGTCCGCCATTCGTTAGAGGTGAATTTTGATTTACCTCGGTACGTGGTGTAATTTAAGATTGAATTATGCTCGTGGAATGATAAAGTCCTAATTTTACTTTTAAATATATTCGTGTAATGTCTTTTCTGCCAACGTACATTTTTCGACATAAGCCAGGGTGAAAACGCCTGCATTATTAAAACGATACAAGTTAAACTACTTTAGAATGTTCTCTATGAACTAGTTGTGCAGGTTTCAACGGTTTTTTTAATGAGATACCATGGCAAGGGAGCTGGCGGTTCACCCGATTGTAAGTGATAACCGCCACCTATGGACATTTGCAATACCCATAGGGTTGCAAAGGCGTTGCCACCTTTTAATAAAGTTGGCCCCAGCTACCTCACTCATCAGACGAAACGCAGAAGCATAATACTTCTACTTCAAGCCGGCCTTCTGTGAGGTAGTTTTACTTCCCCCGACGGACTTGCACATTCGTGGATGCTGCGCTTGCACAACTGATGCATGGCCCTACTACTGTAAAAAGAAATTACCCATTGTAAAATGGAATCATTCGCTTACACTGAGCCAGAAGCCATATTTATAGATATTTCATGATCAACAACTCTTGTCTATTGAAGTAAAGTTTTTTAAAAGGGCGTACTGGATATTTCGAAAAAACCAAGTACAAGAAAAAAATACAAATCTCAGCACTGGCAACCAATCAAAGCCGATATAAAATGGAAGAAAAAAATAAATGGTACCCGTTTTTATGTAACAACCGAGTTACACGGAACAATATCGACGGATGTTCCACAAAGCCTTTTAGGGTAGCGCGTAATTACTTACAAAGAATAGAGCTGAATTAATAATTACTGTCGTACTATTGTCAGTGGGAACTGGGCGTATTGTGTGTTTGTATTATTCATGGGATGATTGAAGGGTGTGATATGGGACATTGGAAATACACGAAACCAATTAATATGTATAGTACAATAGCGATGCTAGTATCCCGTGTTTGGACTAAGTTAATTTCGTAGTACGTCTGGGGAAGTTGATCACGCCCACGAAATGTAGGAGCGGTCGTTATTAATGATTTTGGACTGTCCCAACCATAAACTACGAGATCGAGATTGATTTAATAAATAATTACCCGTAGTAAATTATTTTGGTCTAACATTATAACCCATTAAGGGAAATCTTTTTTAAAACAACTTAAAACTATTGTGTGTTGCTGTATTTATTCTCTTTACTCTCTACTGTAATAACTTTTCAAGAGAATCTTATTAAGATAAAGTTGTGCGTGAATTTTCTTTTCATTTATGTTTTTTTTTATTAGTAGCAAGACTTTTAGGTTTCTTAAGTATTTTGTGAGCAACCCGATGCGTGTTAATGACAACAAATTATGTTTATATTATAATTCTCAAAAAAGCACAGTTCAAGAAAGGGGTAGGGAGGTGAAACTTTGAAAAGCGGTTCCTTATTGAAGTAAGCTCTAAGAAAGTATTTTGGAAAATTCACAACGTGAGGATGTAATTTTTCTTTATGTGACAATGTGGCAAACGAGCTGGCCTTTCACCTAATGTAGCTGGACCATGGACATCTGCAACACTCGTAGGGTTGCAGATACGTTGCAGAAGTGTAATACTTCTACTTCACACCGGTCTTCATAGGTCGTGGTGCCAACCCGGAGGGACCTACCCATTCGAGCAACAGTGTGGTCAACAATATTGCGTGGTCCTACCACAGTTTAAATTAAATACTTTCTTGAATAGTCGCCTATAAAATTGTAAATAAATTAACGTGTTCTTCGCAGGTAACGGGTCTCCACCAGCTCAAGGAACGCACGTATAGCGAAGGCTGAGCATCACACGTCTTGTGTAGATGGTGGACAATATACAGTGTGCTTTAGGTGTTAATGTAATATATGATATGTTCCTAAATAGACTTATTGTACTTGGACTGAATTGTAAATAGCGGAAACTTAGGCTAGGTCGACAATGTACAGGAATTTTATAAACGGCCGCGTAAGGACCATTTCTCTTTGGTGGCGATAAAAATAATGGCGTCTAGCGACTGTTGTTGCCTTATTGGTGGATGTGTTGTATTTAGAAGAGAGCGTGGGAAGATATTTTGAGATTTCCTTCTTTTCGATGGGATTGTCTCTGGTACAAAGATATGTAGATATAACGTATTACAACTGTGTAAATTTATTTCCCTTCACTTGCGTAATTAGTAAATGTTTTAAATAGTCATATAAAATAAAATAGATTTATTTACGCATGCATTATCTAATTATCATATTATACTATTGTAAAATATTTGCTCAACGAAAATAATGATTGAAATGTATCTACGTGTTTTTATAATTTATCTATGAGTGGATTATGCATGTTCATTTTCTATTATCCGTGTTAAATAATTTTTAGATACAAACGATTTACATGTTGACATAATAAAATGTAAATGTAAATTAAACTATCTATATGAAAATGTCTAGACGTCTAGACTTACTGATATAATTATGAAATTAGATAAAAAATGTTATTCGACAGTAAATCAATCAATTACGTAGACAGACATATTTTCTGTGATAATTTTACATTGTAGATGGTAAAATTGTTAAATAAATCTATTCGACTAATTGCAAGTATTAAATGCAAGTATTCAATTCTCCCTCAAAAAGTCCAAACATCTATTTGGGAAGGAAAAATGTATTGTCAAAACAAAGTTAAAACGATTTATTTAGTATTAAGAAATGTATAGAAATTATTTTGCATGAAAGTGTTTTAAATCATTGCATGCGAATTTCAATTTGCCATTATTTACCGTTTCCAAAATATATCTTTGATAAAATTAACTCTTTCATTTAAACATTCCTATATCCATTAATTGAAAAAATATTACTGTGAAACGTAAAGATGATGCTGCAAAAGTCCTTTAAACTGTTGAAGAACTATTGTAGATTACTAGATGAACAACTCACATTTATTTCCTTTAAAGAAATAAATTCTGCTTTTCCCCTTTTTAATAGGTTAGATTTTATACAAACGTACATATAACATAACGTAAATTATGTACATTGAAAGTAAGTTTTAACTGCTGTTTTATCACGTGCTCAGCGGTGAAAGTCATATCGTGAGAGAACGCGTATATTTTCGAAATAATAAAAAAAACATTTCGAAAATATATGCCATCCGTCAATCCGCAGTTGGTTCGCGTGGTTGGACTATGCCCTAATAACCCTCTGTACAGAAGAGGGCTTTGCCCAGCAATAGGACATGTATAGGTTGATACTTTAGTACATTAATTTTTATCCCACCTAGGTGGGGTCAGCAAAGCATGTGAATCAATCAGTAAATTTCATATTATCGGGTTTTGCCACCAATCACTTGCCTGACGTCAACTCTCCTTTGGAATAAACACCCAGATTCGGAATATTTCTCCGGGTCACACAAATACTTGTCCCGTGTTCGAATCGAACCCATAACCTCCGGCGCTGAAGCCAATAGCTGATTAACTGTCATCAAGCCACCAAGCCAAACCATCTTTTTTTTTCTTTTTATGCAGAAAAAGGCTAAACGAGTAGGATGCTCACCTGATCTTAGGCAATTTCCACTATGGCTTATTCATGGAACAAGCGATGCACACACACGCACACGCACACGCACACGCACATGCACACGCACACGCGCACGCAGACGCGCACCATCCGTTATAAGATAAAATTTGATTTTTATGTGGAATATTTTTTTTTAAATCTATACATACTGTGTTTATTACAAGAAGAAAATGGTATTTAAAATATGCTTAACAAGGACTCAAAATTATTTTACTTCGTAGTTCTTTATAATTTAATCGGTAATAGTATACTTGACTTTTTTATGTCGCGGACATTTCTATCTTCAAAGGAATTCGAATAAAATAAACGTCAATTATTCTTTTTTTAACTGCAATCACATGTCTTCTATCACGCGTAAGGGCGCCTATCGCGTCCATTAATGGAACGGTCATCAAAAGCTCGTTTCATACCTTTTTTTCCAACGCCCTAGCGAATTGAACGGACAACACTATGGCGTTGTATGGCGTTCAGACCAAGAAGTATTCGCAGGCAATTTTACTTATTACAGTGATCGCTGTTAATTCTACGATCTAATTTCTGTAATAATTGGTTGTGTACTCACCCTCACAGAGTATGAATCCAGTCTTATATTAGTTAGTAATATTTGTAGCAGTACAACATTTTATTTAACTGCTTCTGTTTCACAGATAGGTTATCTTGACGAATAAATTATTACGGTCGTATAGAAGGCGTGCGTAAAGTACTAGTAACTAACGTCGTCAACGCGGAGTTAGGTGATAACCAACAGTATTTATTTACGTTACTCAAATCATTTACCATGAATAATCAACCTAATTATATTATATTCGTTTTTTTATATCAAACATTGAAAAAGATGATAAATGGTTATACATATACATCGATAGAACGCTTGTGAAATACTATAAACTGGAACAATACCAATCCCAGAGAATAATGCATATGATATTTGTATCCTAACTTCTAATTCTGATTAAACACAATAAAGCGGTGGCATACAAAGAGGTCAACTTAGAACAATGACAGTACGACCATAAAGAATGACATCATACAAGCTCCGAGTGGATGGAGACCATAAAGACGACTGCGAGTTTGCTTCGTCTCGGAAAAGATACAGCGCAAACGGCTGCTTGCCGTTCGCGCAGAGGAAAACAAACTTTATGTGGATACAATTACGAATCACCCAAACGACATAGGTCGTATTGTGTTTCCATCACGAGAGCAGTCCGTCGACATTCTACGGACAGCGCGCCAACCGCAATGGGGTGTTGCGGTCGCGAGCTGTCGCGTTCGCAACTTATAACTGCGAAAGCTGCGGTTACAGTTAGAGTATCGTTGCGTCGAACTTACGGAAGCAACGGGCCGCGACGACTAGTTACTGTTCCGCAGAAAAACATGCAATTAACGCTAATCCCTTGCGCAATAAGGGTATATATAGCTCACTTCTTGCGTAAGTACTAATGAGAATACTAGCAAAGAGGATTTTAAGTCGAGATTTATTGTTCGATCGGTAGCACTTTTTTGACTATCAATAAGTAATTGTTCATGCTTCTATGTTGTCGTGTCTAAGTGTTCTCATGCTTCTATATTGAAATTTGAATTAAAAGATATTTAGAAATTAAAAGATATTTGAGTTTAAATTGTATTAAGTTTGTCATTTTTAATGGCACTAAAATTCCCCTAAGAAGTGATCGAGAGAGACTGCTATACGATGGATTGTATTTTGTCAGGATGGCAGACTGTGGGGAGTGAAAAGGTCAATGATAGGCAATGTTTCACAAATTACATAGACGGTTTTAAGAAAACAATCTATGTATTTGGTGGAACACAAACATGAAAGAAAAAATATTGTAGAAATTTTTGATTGACGGGAATAGAAATACATCGTCTGTAACAATTTAAACTGTCTAACTATCAAGGTTCATGAGATATATATATAGTGACAGATGGACAGACAGACAGACAGACAGCGGAGTCTTATTAATGGGGTCCCATTTTTGGGAACCCTATAAATACCTTTTTAATTTTTATTCATCATTCAATATATTATTGACTTTTAAGACTTTTGTTATACGTAATATCGTTGTCCTGGTTGTCAATTTCTGAATTCACCAACTCTCGTCGGTAAATTAATACTCTTTTTTAATGAATTAATCAATTTAGGTTTTTGTACCGTATGCAACATCGACTTATATTCACAGAACTTAAAGATTCTCTTCATCGACGTATCTTTTCTTACTTAAATAGTTTAAACTTAGGAACTTTTTAACTAGCAGAAACAGTTACTGTCGAATGTCAACTGAAACTTATGTCGAATGTGTAAGAGATTATTATTGTTAGAGAAGAAATTCTTACTAAGATTGCGGAAGTTTTCTCTTCTCATTATTCTTGGAAAATTTCAAACGGTATAAAATAAACTTCCCAAGAAGAACATTCTTAATTGTATGTTTACTCGCTCCTTATCGATTTCATTCGTATCTATTTTTAGATGGGGATGGTATCTGGTTTTGGCCGAGGGTTTTAGTATCAACATGCCATGAGAAAATAAAAAAGTAAAAGTAAAGTAAAAGCCTAAACATGTCCCACTGCAAAGGCCTCCTCTATAAGGAGGGTGGGTATCAGGGAACAGTAGACCACGCCGCTCCACTGCGGATTGGCGGACTTCACATACTTTCGAAATCCTTTTTTGTTGTTGTTGTTTCAAAAATATGCAGGTTTCCTCATGACGTTTTCCTTCAGGGTTGAGCACGTGATAGGTCAGCACTTAAAATTTACAACTTCATTGGTGTTGGCACCGAGGATGGAACTCAGGTTGCTCGAGTAAATTGATTTAAAGTCGAGTGCCAGGACACTGAGCTATCATGGTCCATGACATAGATAACTGTTAGTAATAAATACGCATGTATGAAACCATAATGTAAACCTGTAATTGGCTAAACTATAATTTAAAATTTATAGTTTTGTATTAGTTGTAATTTAAAGTTAAGTTTAAATGTTGTTTTATCTATTATTTTTAATTTAGCTTTAATTTCTTTTGTTTTTCATTTTTTATTTTGTTTGAAAAGTTATTTTTTTTATTTCATTGTACAATTATTAATTGTTGAGAGTGTTTTTTGTACATTTTGTGTTCGCTCATAGAAGAACATTCACTTGTGTGTCAAGTTCCGTATCAACTTTATCTTTGTCCATTATTCTGTAATGTGAGTGTAATGTTCAGTTTGCGATCCTAATTAAATAAAAAAAATAGTAA